GCAGTTTGAATCGCGTTGTCTTAATGCAGTAAAAGAGAGCAGGAGCGGGAACATGGGATTGTATCGATATGATCAAATGGTTGGTTGCTTGCCTGATGGTTCGATGCACTGATACGGTTCTTCGTTAGGGTAATCACGGTATTCCTCGGGGGCAGAACCTGTCGCAAAGGACATCGATACACAAGCATCACCAAACAATGTGCAGCAATATGATGCATGCATGAAACATGGCAATATGAGTGTGTTGGGCTAATGCAACTAAAACCAGAGAGTTTGAACAAATTTGAATCATAGATTCAAATTTCAAACTCAAACATGGCCTTTTAAAGTGCTTTTCCTTGTTCTACTTAAAACATCAATTTAACTTGTTTGATCATGCATGAAAATAGTACAGATGGATAGATTGGATTTTTCTGATCATTTTTCATATATAATTTGTCCAATTTGGAGTTACAGAATAAAAGTTATGAATTTCTGAAGTTTAAATAATATTCTGGAATTTCCTGATTTAATTTAAATTCAGAAAATCAATTACTGCGTCAGCCTGACGTCAGTGTGATGTCAGCAGGTCAACGGAACAGTTCTGGGTCAAACCTGACAGTGGGTCCCGCATGTCAGGGTGATTATTTTAATTAAAATTTAATTAAAACTAAACCTGTTTAATTAACAGGGCTGGGCCCCGCCTGTCATTGACTCAGGGGAGTCAACCAGGGCCCACCCGGGGTCAAAGTCAAAGTCGGCTGCCGGCGTTTAGCCGCCGGCGAGCCCGACGCGGCGGCGGAAGTGGTTTTGGCCATTTCGGCCACCAAATGGGTCGCGGAGACCACCGGAGTGGAGCTGAGGACAACCCGCAGCTCTTGGTGGAGTCCGTTGGGGTCGGGGTGGCCGGAGTTGGCGCCGGCGACGACTTTGGCGGCCACCGGGGTTCGGTCGAGGATGAACTTGGCGCTAGAGGGGTCGGTGAGGCTCGTGGAGTGGCTAGCTAGGTGCTGTGGAACTCGGTGAGCAAGATGGACACCATCTTGTGGCCGGAGTGTGGCCGGAAGCACGTCGGTGACGAGGTCCGCGACGGTGTGGGCGTGTGATCCTCGTGCGGTGGCTACACAGCTCGGGAATGAGAGGGAGAGGGTCGGAGGAGTAGCTAGGCTCACAGCGCTCCCGTAGAGGCCACCGGCGGGGTCGGGGACGAGCTGAGGCAGCGACGGCGTTGAAAGGGATCTCCGGCGACGGCGAGCTCGGGCGAGGTCGGTGCGGCGGCTTCGAGGCACGCGAGCGCTCGGGGCTCGGCTAGCTCGAAGGAGTAGAGGACGGCGGAGCTTCTGGACAGGGTGGCGCGGCGTGGAGACGACGGGGAGCACGGCTACGACGGTGGTGCGGCGACGGTGGCGTCGGCCATGGCTGGGGCGTGCGAGGGGGAGGAGCTGGAGAGGAGAGGGGGTGTCTGGGGGGTTCG